AAAAAGAACGGTGCTTCTGCCAGCACTTCTCTGGGAAAAAGCTGCCCCTCCAGCTCTTGCTGTGATGCCAGCCAGTTCAGTTTCTTTCCTTGTGTCTCTGGTGCTATTCAAGCTGCCATCCCTATTCTGGAGCTCAGAGGAATTGAGTTCAACTAAGTCCATGTACAGTCACTTTAAGAGGATCTGTCTTGGACTTCAGCAGCCTTTGTCTTTTTCAGCCTCAATCCCTGCTGATTTTGCAGCCAGAAGTTCTGGGGATTGCTCTTCCTGGGACTGGAACCCTGGGCTGGGAGTCCTGATGTGGGAATGGGACCCCTCAGTACTCAGGGAGGACCTCTGCAGCCAGTTTTTATCCTCTACATGGGTGTATGGCACCAACCTGTTCTGTGTCTCCTCCCTTCAAACCAATCGTGATGTGGTTTCTTTTTAAATTCCATAGTTGTAGGACCTCTGTTTCAGCTCCATTTCAGCTTTGATTTCAGCTACAAAATGATGGTTATTTTGTAGTTTAGTTGTAATTTTGATGTGGTTGTGGGAAGAGGTGAGTACTCCATTTACCTGCACACCGCCATCTTGACCGGAAGTTTTCTTGCTTCTTGAGGTAGACCTGTAAATGCTCTGAACGTCCCTCTCAGGACTTCTTTTACTGTGTCCCATAGATTTTGGGTTGTTGTATTTTATTTTCATTTGTCTCCAGGTGACTTTGGATTTCTTCCTTGATCCCATTGTTAACCTGTTCATTGTTTTATAACATGTTATTTAGCCTCCATGTGTTCGAGTGTTTTTGAGTTTTTTTATTGTGATTGACTTCTAGTAATACCATACTGGTCAGAGAAGGTGCTTGATATGGTTTCAGTCTCCTTGAATTTATTAAGACTTGTGTCCTAACAGGTATTCTATCTTAGAAAACTTTTTTGAAAAGAATTTTTTGATCCACTCTTTGCTGATGGCCATTTAGGCTGTTTCTAGCACTTGGCTATTATAAATAATGCTGCTATGAACATTGGGGTGCATAGGTTCTTTTGAATTGGTGTTTCAAGATTCTTAGGGTATAATCCCAGCAGTGGGATCACTGGGTTATAAGGCAGTTCCATTTTCAGTTTTTGAAGAAATTCCATGCTGTTTTCCACAGTGGCTGCACCAGTCTGCATTCCCACCGACAGTGCACTAGAGTTCCCTTTTCTCCGCATCCTTGCCAGCCCTTGTTGTTTGCTGATTTATTAATGGTAGTCATTCTGACCAGTATGAGGTGGTATCTCATTGTGATTTTAATTTGCATCTCTCTGACGGCTGGTGATGTTGAGCATTCTTTCAAATGTCTATGGGCCCTCTGTATGTCCTCCTTAAAGAAGTGTCCATTTGGGTCCTTTGACCGTTATTTAATTGGGTTGTCTTCATGGTGTAGAGTCATATGAATTCTTTATGTATTTTGGATAGCAAACCCTTGTCCAAGGTATCATTGGCAAATATTTTTCCCCACACAGTTGGTTCCCTTGTCATTTTCATGCTGGTTTCTTTAGCTGTGCAGAAGCTTTTAATTTGTTGGTAGTCCCATTTGTTTATTCTTTCCTTTATATCCCTTGCCCTAGGAGATATCGCTGAAAATATTGCTGCGTGGGATATTTGAAATTTTTCTGCCTGTGTTTTCCCCTAGGACTTTTACGGTGTCACAACTTACACAAGATGGATAACCATTGTTTTAAATGCTTCATCTGGTATCTTGATTGTTTCCATTTCATTTTATTCTTCTGGGGATTTCTCTTGTTCTTTCATTTGGGGCATGTTTCTTTGTCTCCCTATTTTGTCTTCCTTTTTGTGTTTGTCTACCTAATACACAGGTATTTGCTGTGACCCCCAAGCTTGTTATAAGGGCTTTATGATGTAGGTTGTTTGTAAATCTCAGTGGTATAATCTCCTAAATCACCTGAGCTTGGTCCTCCAGAAATGTTTCTTGTGTGGGTTTTGTGCCCCCTGCTGTTGTAGTCGAGTCTTGACTACTGTTGGCCCATTTGTGGGGAAGTTAACTCTCAGGCTGGCTGACTCTAAGGATAACCCTTTGCTGTGTATGAATTGCTGTTCAGGAGCTCCTCAGTGAGGTACTATTGCTTCCAGCAGGGTCTGGTGCTTGCCATAGTCTCTCTTTTCTGTGCCATTTGTGTGGCTAGTTAAGTCTAGCTCTGGTGAGATTTGAACCCCACCACTGGTGGTGGTGGTTCTGGGCCCACTTATGTAGGTTTCTGGTGCAGGTTGGTACGAGGTACTGTATGTGACTGGCCTTGGGCCTCCTGTCTGGAATGACCATGCTATTCATTGATTATGTGTGTATGTCTGCTGGGCCTGGCTGAGCATGGGAGGGGCTGGCTTTCTTCAGCTCTGAGCTAGGGGTAGATTAATAAAAGGTCCAAGGCTCTCTGAGTTTGGCATCCACTTGTCAGCTACTTTGCCAACTTCTGAGGTTGGCTGGCCTCCTCCAGAGCCTTTCGAAGAACTGTGGAGTAGCCCTGACTGGTGTGGCTCAATGGATTGAGCACTGGACTGTGAACCAAAAGGTCGCAGATTCGATTCCCAGACAGGGCACGTGCCTGGATTGTGAGCCAGGTCCCCAGTAGGGGGCACTCAAGAGGCAACCGCACATTGATGTTTCCCTCTATTTCTCCCTCTCTTACCCTCTCCCTAAAAATAAATAAATAAAATATTTTTTAGATAAATAAAAAAGAACTCTAGAGTAGACCCAAGCTGGCCACCTCCCACTGCCCTTTTCACGTGGCACAAGCTTGTTAGGGCAGGGGAAGCAGGTCATGAGGACGGGACTAATGGCTCCCCTTCTTGGGGGTAGCATGGTCAGGCACTCAATGTGGAGAATGTGGCCCCTACCTCAGAGCCATATCATTCAGTTTCTGCTACAGTCTCCAACTCCAGCTCTCCCAGGAGGTACGCACCAGCAGTTGAGGCTGGATGCAGCCATCTGTCTTCACTGCAGGAGCAAGCTCAGCAGGGTGGTGAGACCAGTACCGGGGGAAACAGGTCAAGAGAGTCCTTAGTTGAGGGTGGGGAGTGAGCGCCACACCTCATCGGAGCTTTATAGCTCCATCTGCCTGAGCCCCAGACTGGAACCTCTGAGGGAGAAGTTCTCTAGAGGTCTCTGCTCTGAGTGTCGTTCCTTGAAGATATGTTTTACTAAGCTATGTTGCCTGGCCCACTAATTTTTCATGTCTGTTTTTTGACATTTTGCTGTAATGACTGGATTTCCCATGTGACAATGTCCGGAACATTATTACGAAACTCTGATTTTGTTGGAGCTGGCATAGGCGTTCATCAAGTCCACTTTGTAGATGAGATAGAGTAGTGGCGTTGCCTGGGTAGAATTATATAATATATACTGTTTAAAGTGTTTGAATTCTATAAGTAGACACACCTTCATTCAAATCACTGCTCTAACATTTATTAGATTGGACATTTAACATGGCTTCTAATGTTGCTACATTTCAGTTTTCTCAGGACTGAAAAGTAATTATATTACTAAGAGAAAAGTAATAGAATTACTCTTCCTAAGTCAGTTGTGCCATTATACTTCTAGTAAGATTGTTCAGATGTGTAATACCTCATCTTAGAAGGCAAGCTGACATAAGATGACAAGATTTTGAACCTCAGCTTTCACCATTTATTTGCTTTATGTTTTGGTGGTCAAATTACTTAATCTCTCTTCTTAATTTTCTCATCTGTTAAATTGGGGAAATATTACAATAGTACCTACCTAACAGAAATAAATAAAATATAAATATATAAGTGAAAGATATTATAAATGAATTTCCTATAATGAATATTAAAGGACATAATAGAAGGACTTAGTAATTGGTTGCCACAGCATTTATTGTTGTTCATGTTATCATCAATATCATTCTGCTGAAGCAGGACTCCATTCAGCACCTAGAGGGGATAGCTTCTGGGAGTAAGGAGGCTAGCAGGAACCAGGTAGGAATCCAGAACCTCTGATAGACACATCAGATCCCAAGACAGGACATACAAGCAATCGTCCATTTATACCACATGGAATAGCAAGGAAAAGAGTTGGTTGAAGGTCAATAGGCACAAAGGTTTCAAAGCCCAGGCAAACTTTCTTAGACTATGGCAGCCAGGCTTCCCCCATTGCAAATTATCTGTGGAGACGGAATTTGAGGTGTTTACTGGTATAGTTGGTTCTCAAAGGCTTGGATTTTTCAGAGCCAAAACTGCTGGTCAGAATGTCTACCTGTGCTGGATGGGCCAAAAATAAGTTAGGGATTTACTATCATAGTTGGAGTGGAAAGTGAAATTAAATTATAGAATCATACTTGCCAATTACCCAAACCATGTATTTCACTTCTGAAAATTTATTATAAGGAAATAAGAAAGAATATTTATAATGATGTAGTCACAAAGATTTTATCACAGTGATGTTTGATATAGTGTAAGAATGGAATTAGTCTAAATGCCTAACATTTGTATAATCGGAAACTTTAAACTCATTGAAAATTATATAGAAATGCATTTTTTAACTTTAAAATATATTTATTATAGTTAAGCTGTGAAAGCAGATTATAATACATATTTTTCTAAGAAAAATACAAATCTGTATCTTTTCATATCCATATTGATATTGAAAGAGAGGAGGAATCATAAAAGTATTACTGAAGTGTTGTAGTAGTGATTTTTCTTGGAAGAGAGAAATATAAACTTTTATTTCCTTGTGATTTCTGTACTGAACACTTATGACTATCATAGTAACAATTTTAAAACTTTTTTGTTTAGAAAGACAGGCAGTATAATAAATGTTTTTACATTAGATTCATTGTAAAGTAGGGAATCTTTATCTTCATATCACTTTATCATGGGATTTCTTTTCATTTAAAACCATGGGGCCATGCTTTTTTCTAATTCATGTAATTATGAATGGTAAGTGCTTTTTTAAATTCTTGCTGGTATCTATAAATCTAATCTTTTTTTTTTACCTTATTCTTTAGGTCATTGTGTCAATGAGTGTAGCATTTGCCCAACAAACTGAACTATCTAGACTATCTGGAGAAAAAGAAGATACTACATCATCAAAACAAGCACATTCTCTCTGTCTACAAGAACAACAACGTTATTTTAATGAAATGAAATTACCACAGGGTCATGTTGGTTTTCAGACTTTTGAAGCAATGGACATGAAATTTAAAGAAGAATTTAAACCACTTAGTAAGGAGTTGGGAGAAGATGGAAAGGAAGTCCTGTTATCAAACAGTGATAATCTTGATATACTTGAATCAGAGGACCATGAACTGACTGTTTCAGAAGAACTGTTCTCCAAAGATAAAACATTTGGAGCCAGAGAATCTGTAAGTATGTCTCCTTGAATATAGTAACATAAAATTGTGACTTTCTTCACTATACAAATATTAGCAGTGATGTTGCTTAATGGAGAAGGAAAGTATCAAATCCAGTCTTGACTTATAATTCACATTATGAGTGTGTTTAGTTATTTGTGAGGTGTATGAATGACTTAATATTATTATTAAAAAAAGTCTAGTTCATAGTATTTTTATTTGTCTTACACACATTGTGCATGGGGAAATCTCACTAAATTATACCTTTATTAATTTTTTTTTAGTAAGCTCAAGGTTAAGTACAGTTTGACAATATGTATGAGCAAAAGATTTACTTAATTTAATATGATATCACAAGAAAATAGCTACCTACTTAAGAAAACAATTGAAAACATTCTAGTCTATATATATGCAAATTCTTTTTCTTTACTTATTCATTAATTGAGAATTTTGTGTCTATATCTCAACTGTGTGCCTTTAACAGAAAATAAATTCTACCTCTTTTAAATTATCTAAATTCAAATTTTTGATTAATGTTTAGTATGGGTTATGTCTTTTTAGTGGCATATTCTAATAAAATTGTCGACTTTTTATATAGTTCAAAACTCTTTAATTTACCAGTAACTTTTTAAAGCAAAATAAATCAGAATGATTTGTTTAAGTAGTAGCTTTTCAGGAATGGAAGTACTTGTAGAAATCTGTTAAGGAGTTGACTTCTTATGAGTATGAGAAAATGAAATGTAAAACTTATTTCCAAATAAAATTTACTGGAGGCTGTTTTTTATCAAGCTGTTGTTCTCTGTAGGTATTGTGATGACCACTAAAATTGCTTACGTTTTATAAACTTTAAAATATTTATATTATTTCCCCATTATAAAATATCAAGAGGAATAATGGAGTTTTAGCTTTAGTAAGAATAGAAGGAATCTTGAGTATCCTTCTTTATTCTTTTCCCTTAAAATTAGATGACATCTAAACTAATTGGTAAATAGCTCTCTTGCTTTTGGAGAATAACATGTATAATGATAATCTGTGTTGATTAAGAATTATAATTAAGAAATATCTTTTTAAAAATTATAATATTTATATAAAATATCTGATGCTTTGTGGGGTTAATAGTAGAAATCCTGTCATACTGATTTTAAATATTGATTCTAACAGATTTATACTAAATGTGTTACAGCTGAATTTTTTTTTAACTATTATAGATCCATGATGAAATTTTGGTATCAAGCATGGATGCTTCTAGACAGCTAATGTTAAATGAAGAACAGTTGGAAGATATGAGGCAGGAACTTGTCCGACAGTACCAAGAACATCAGCAGGCAACAGAACTTTTGAGGCAAGCACACATGCGCCAGATGGAAAGACAGCGAGAAGACCAGGAACAGCTACAAGAAGAAATTAGGAGACTGAATAGACAACTAGCCCAGGTATGGGACTTAGTGTCCCTTTTCTCCTCATTTGAAATAGTAATATTCTTTATATAGCTTTTTAAACAAAAATCAAAATTTTTGCCAAGATATAAATTAATACGAATATTTAATATCAGGAATAGATTCCACGAGCATAACAGTATCAGGTCTCATGAGGGAAATCTGACTCATTGTTGGAGTGCATTGTGCCCTACCATTTTATATATCTTTCTTTGCCGGCACTGGAAAAGGGGCTGCATGGTTGGTTGATTTGGGGTTTTTTTCTAATCATTCTATTGACCCATACATGGCAAAAACAGTTTGACAATTTTGGAAAATTTTTGTGCTGGCCTGCAGTTAATATTCAGTTTTCCTATATTCATTTATAGTTTTGTGAGTCCACCAATTAGCATCTCCAAGGTTTACCTTTATCTGTCCTTAATCTATCTTTTAAATCAAGAATGGAAATCTGAAGTAGTGTGTTTCTGGATCTTCTTGGTCCGGGGAAACATCTCTTCTTGATTTGAGAAATGCAAATTTATATAACATTCTTATCCCTTTCTTGGCTAAATTTACATACTCCTTGGTATTTGGGAGCTGGGTTCTTATCAATTGCTGTATATAATATACTCACAAAATCATTGCAGAAAAGCAAAAAATATTTATATAAAAGTTCTTATTAAAACATTTATTCAATTTTGGAAACGTAAGCTAAAAGGAGAAATAAGAAATAGAGAACTCTTGAAATATGTTCTTTCAAATATAGAATAATATTCTATATAGGAAATATAGAATAATATAGGAAATTGGGAATGAGTTGAAAAGTCATTTGGAAAAATTAATTTTGCTTTTCTTCATCGCATTTTGTGAATTTAAAATTCTGAATTTTCAATGCAAAATTGGCATATAAAATAATATTCTTTGAATTGCATAAATTGCATTAAAAAAACTTTTTTTTTTTTCCAAATTTTGCATTGAACTTTATATATGCTTTTAACCCCTTATCATGGGATATGAATCGTGGGGAAAACTAGGGTCTGTTGGTCCCAGGGGGTTAAAAGAAAGCTGCTTAATATTTCTGCCTTTATCTTCTATCGCAAACAATATTCTCTCATGACCTTTTTTCTTATTTAGAGATCCTCAATAGATAATGAAAACCTGGTTTCAGAGAGAGAGAGGGTGCTTTTAGAGGAGCTGGAAGCACTAAAGCAGCTGTCTCTAGCTGGAAGAGAGAAGCTGTGTTGTGAGCTGCACAACAGCAGTACGCAAACACAGGTAGTATGGACTTTGCCCCGCCTAGGAGCAGTGGATCCACAATGCAGTAGGATTTGTCTGTCTTCGTTGTTGGTGTGAAATGTGTTTGTAGGTATTGCGTTTAAAATATTTGTTATTGCTTATATGTAAGGTAGGTGGAGTCAAGATGCCTTACATTCCATTTAAGGTAATTTGAATCTGACATTGCTAGGTAGCAACTGCTGTCTTTCCAAGGAGCAACCTAACAAACTTTATTGTCACTCTATAGCATGCATTAGCTTGAACCCATTACAGTTTTCCTCCTGTGATCTAGAGTCTTTTATCTTTTTCTGATAATGCTAATCTCTTGAAAAAATATAGTTAAATATTATTTTATACAGTATCTATTCTGCATGTAGAGATTTCTGTTTCACCTCCTAACAGATATAAAGGAAAGACAAACTATTTCCAAGATGACAGGTTTTCTTTCTGTCTTGTCTTCTCTACCTTTACACAAACTTACACAGGATGAAAATGAAAACCAAGAGGAAGCTGAGGAACAGACCTTTAAAGAAAAGGAATTGGACAGAAAACTTGAAGATGTGCCTCCTGACGTTCTGTCAAATGAAAGGTATACAGAATAAGTTTTTTTTTAATTACAAAATGAATTAAAATAGTTGTTTCAATGTTATAAACTTTATTCTTATTTTTACCTTGTACATTTCTTTTATTTGTACATTATACTCTTATGTAAAGAGTGACAGATTTTGGTCATTTAAATTGACAAGCAAGTATTTAACAAGCTTTTATTTAACAAATATTGACCCAGTACTTAACTCAGTAAATGTTCAAGCATTATTTGGTTTTGATCCTTTCTGGATTAGTTTTATTTCGCTTATAAGGCATTATTATACTGAAAAAAATTGTGGGTTTATTCTGTCACTGAATAGGCATGCATTCAGTATAAACTACTCCCTGGTTTGTTCATGATGAATGAAAAAAATTAAGTGTGCTAGTCCACATATTGCTTTCATGCATTTACTGCATAACAGATGAGGACTTTTAATCCATATCCCAGTTTTACAGAGGGATAAATTAATGATTTGATGTTAACAAAACTTTTCCTTACTTTGATTTCATAGATACTAGTATAAACATGTAAAATATAAATGAGAATAGTTATCCCACATTAATATTAAGAACTTTAAGCACAATATTTTAAATTTTGTTTTGTTCAAGTGAAAATAGTTTAATTTTAAGTTAAAACTAATATCTACTAACTTAATTTCCTCCTTTTCCAATTTCTGTGATTGTCAATCCTCTGTCCTCCTAACCTCCTTCCTCAGCTTGCATGGAGGAATTTGGCCCTTAAGATTTTGGCTTCCCCATTGGATCATCAGTATGGAACACAGTCAGTATGGAATTCAAACAAGAAAGACAGTGTATGAAAATTAGAGTTAAAATATCAATATAAAATAAACAAAATGTTTATTTTATAATTAGAAAATAAATGTTTATTTTGTAATTGAGATAATTTTTTTATCTCAACTAGGTATATTTTTAAAATTATGCAATGAATGTTTAATTATTAGGACTTTTTAGTGAGTGCTGATAAATTATTATTCATATTTATTTATTTTTACCATAATACTAATTTTAATTAATTCTCTTATGTAGAATTTCTGTTTTCAAAATATTCTAGTCCTGGGTGTTTGGGACTTGAACAAAATCTCAGAGAAAGTTAAAGAAATAAAACCTTTGACTTACTTTCTACTAACTAAATTATTTAGAGTTTATTTTTAGTATCCTTACTTATGTAAGCAGAGAAGTTGATCTAGGTGCAAAAATAGAACTGCCTCTTTCACTTGACAAATACTGAAGGAAAAATTCTGCATTTATTACCTTGTCTTAAAATAGTTATGTCATGTGCCTGTGAAAACAGATATCCTTTAACCTGATTGTTAGTGATCTCCAACAGTGTGAAATTGAGAAAGAAAACTGTCTTAAAGCAGAGGATCTTTACCATGAAAGTCTCTTATTTTGTCTGCATGTATTAAATATCAAGTTTGCCACTGTAATACCTTCATTGAATTAAGTTGTTAGGACAAGATAATTGTTTAGTTATTCAGAAGATTAATCAGATCATCTTCTGAATCACCATTTATGGAATTATATTTCTTGACATGGAAAGATGTTTGTGTTAAGCAGATAAAAAGCTTACAAAAAGTTTGTTCAGGATAATCCTATTTTTTTATACACACACACACTCTATATATATACACATATATATGTATATATATGTATGTTTATATATATTTATGAGAGAAATGTGGAGAAGAGTCTGGAAGTATAGGCATTAAAATGTTAGTAGTGATTACCTCTTGAGTACTGAGATTTTGGTGGGTGCTTAGCAGTATTTTATAATCTTTTTTAAAAAGAAGAATTGTTACTTGTCTTTTAAAAAAGAGAAACACACCTTAATTTCATTTGGTTGAAAATAGGTTCCTCCTAATGGTTGAAGTGAGGGTGGTATATGTTACTTGAGAAATTTCTGTCTTGGAGTATATGAAACAACCTACAATATTCCCTCTGGTGTTAGCAGATAGTGAAATTACACAGTAGACTTTTTGAAAAATAAGTTTCTGCCAATTATAATTTAATCATATAGATTATCACCAGTAACTTATACAAGTACACATTCTTTCCTGGTGGAATTTTTAAATTATATTTAAAAATCTTTGATACAATGAAATTAAATGTAAAACATACATGAATAACCATGAGTGGTATTACCACCTCAGTAACTCACATATGCTTGGGTTGGGTACCACCACACTTTTTAAAACTTAACTTTTTCATCTACTGAAATTTTTTTAAATCTTGAAACTTAAATTTATAAAATAAATAAAAACAAAACACTTCGTTGTAGATGCTACATCATATTATTTTAATAGAGAGGATCATGTGATGCTTTATTTTTCAAATCAGATGTTTTGTAGACATTTTTTGTGGGACGTGAGCAAAGTGTTTGCTTTTAAAAAGATTAAACATTTTAATAAATATTTCTTTATCTCTACAGATATGCACTCCAGAAAGCTAATAACAGACTTCTGAAGATCCTCTTAGAAGTTGTAAAGACAACAGCAGCTGTCGAAGAAACAATTGGTCGCCATGTCCTTGGTATTCTAGACAGATCAAGTAAAGGCCAGTCCTCTGCCTGCCTGATTTGGAGATCAGAGGCAGAGGCACCTATAAAGTCATGTGTCCATGAGGAACACACAGGAGGTACTAGTTCTATATTCTGTTGAAACTATCATCTTCAGTAAATTTTGGAATTTAAGCCACTTTGTTATGTATTAAAATATAGAAAATATTACAGTATTTTCCCACAAAAATACCTCCAAACACAAATTCATTAGATGCACTCTTCTCAAAACACCGTTATTGTATAGCATTTGCAAATGAGTATCTTTAAGTTGTCATGATATATTCAGGGTTACTGTTATGCTACATAAATCAGAAGCTGTTCAATTTCTTGTCCAACAAAAGAAAAATTTTGCATCATCACTCAGGACTCACCGATAGGCAGTGTCCCGCAATCACCTTATCAATAAAGGAAAGACTAGAAATAGAGAGCGTTTAAGAATCAAACAGCAGTTTCACATATCGGTTCAAATGGTTAGAAGGAAGTCTTTAAAACAAATGCAAAGTTTGAATTTATCTGTGGACTAACCTCTGCTCGGCCCTTTCATCCTTTTGGAAAAGTGGTGTGAAGTGTGGCAGAATGGGTGTAGGTCCAGAAATCAGATCCTGATGTGACAATGTGTGCCTTCCTAAGTGTCTTCTTTCAGCTGTGTGGGCTGGGCTGTTCTTTGAATTTCTTACTTTCATGTGGATGACCTCCAGTCTCTCCTATTTTTTTAATTATTTTTATTTACTGGGGTGCAAATCAGGAAATCAAAAGGGAGAAAGTGTTTGTCACGTGAAGAAAAAGTGGGTCTGGCACTTGGATCAAAAGATCAAGCCCACACTTTACTACTGTTCCACGCCTAAGCGTGTCTCCCCAGTTAAGAGGATGACATTCTAAAAGATGACAGTTTATACAATTTTTGAGAGTGTTCTGCTTAAGTTTTATGTAGAGAAATGAGAAGAAATTATACATGCCACTTGTTGAAGGCTTGCCTAATTATAAGTTGGCCAGTTGCATGCCTCTAAGTGCAGAAAAAAAACTTGATTTGGAATTTTAAGTAAAATTAATTTTAAAACTACCTCAGTTGAGGTCAAAGATAGTTTTTAAAACTGCTTTTAGTAGAATAAGACCTGAAGTAATACAGTATTTTAAAACTTCTTTCAAATTCATTCTTTTCAAACTTTGTTAGATGTGTTTTTTAAACTAACTTCACTCTTGGTTAAGCTTTCAATCAAGGGCTATTTTATTTCTGCAAATGAATCTTGATGTATGTAAAAGAATTAAGTAGTATTTTTTTTTTCGTTTCATTGTAAGTGTTTCTCAAATTATGCAGTTTTAGAAAGTTATTTTATAAACTGGTTTCCCTTAACCATCATGGGGGATTTTGATACTCTGCTAAGACCTAAACTAAACTATTCAAAAGACACTCTGAGGAATGTTCTGTAGAGTACAAAAATATTTTGTGCCTTTTTTGTTAGTAGTTCTCTGTGACCTTTCTCAAAGTGGTTGCTGAAGTGCCCAGCAAACAACGTATCTTGAAAGATAACAAACTCACTTCCAGGGCGGTGTTCTTGTAGTTATAAAAAGGAATAAATTGGTAATTTAATGCAAGCACAGAGCATGATGTTTATGTTCATTTTCAATGAGAAAGCAAACAAGGATATTTGATCTACTTTTTTGCATGATTACATCCAAATCCCTCAGTATAGATTAAATATGTCTGTGTCCTATTTTAAGATATCCAATAACAGTAGCTTTTCAGTTATAAGCAGTCTTATCTGTTCAATTCTACAAACATTTATTGAGCAATTTCTTTATGCCTTTTGCTTTTTAAAAAAAACTATCCATTAGAGGATATGTTTATTGGTTTTAGAGAGAGAGGAAGGCCGGAGAGAGAATTATTAGTCAGTTGCTTCCCATATGCACCCTGACCAGGTATCAAACCCGCAGCCTTTTGGTGTATGAGACAATGTTCAACCAGTTGACCTACCGGGCAAGGGCTATGCCTGTGCTTTATAGCAATTCACAGTCTAGTGAAGGAGGCACTGAGAGTCCAAATCAAGGCAAGCTAAACTCATAGTACTTAATATTTTACTTAAAATCCCTTCATGTGCTCTTGAATCAATTAAGCCTTTTAAAAATTTAATTATTTAACTGTTAACTGATTCTGAAAGAATAATATTAAGATACAAGAGAAAAAAGTTATATCCATGGTTGAGAAATTTAGCGTATGGAATATTATAGCAAAGAATTTTGCTGTTACTAACATCATGAATTATAATGTTCACTTATCATTAACTACTCATTCTTTGTTTTTGTATTTAACAATGATATGCTAATCTTACTAATAAAATTAGGATGACCATTCATATAGTTTGGGAACACTTATCAGATCCATTTTGCATCTTGAAGGTGTTACCAGCAATGTTGACTTTCAGTTCTTGAGTTCAGCAAAGAAAGTATTCAGTACTAAGAACTCTAACCCAAGAGGAAATTTATTTAGCTTGCAAAGCAAAAGTATACTCAAAAAGAAGACTCGAGTACACTGTTCAGAGAGCTGCATTGGCCTTTTAGGAAGAAAGTCACAGAGGCAGAAGTAAGCCAGCTGGGCTGCATGGACTCAGGATACTAAGTTACAGAGGCAAAAAAGGAGGGGACCCTTGGAGACATGTAGAGGGGGTTAGCCTGGGACGAGCTGCTGCTGTGTGCTCCTCCCCTGGCTGCAAACCACATGGGAACCCTTAGAGCTTAGGAGAAAGAAAGCAAAGATACACTCCTGAAAAAGGCACAGGCATGCTCCAGGGAGAGCATGCACTGGGTCTGTTGTCTTAAGGGTTTTTATCTGTTTTCTAAAGGCAGGAATTTTAGGGATAGTCTCAGGGGAAGATCTCAACAGAATAATCATCAGCTTTCCAGGTGTGTCCTTTAATATGCTAATACATATAGGTCAGGATCATTGGGACCAAGGTGGGTCTGCCCTGGTACTGCCTGGAATGTGTAAGATAAGACCTTGCAATTTATTATCTGGCTATAACCTGTTTGTTCAGTTACCTGTCTCAGTTTCCCCATTCCACTTGCCAAGGAATTTCCAAGCTTCTTAGTGACCTGCCTCATTCTCCCCTCAGCAACTTCCAACCCTGAAATCTTTTAGGGTTGATGAGGGAAGCACAAGGTATGTCTTTAGTAAGTGCTTCCTACAGACACGGGTCATGGCCCCCGCATGTGTAGGATATGGAAGTCTCTCCCTGCTCGATCTAAGGAAGACAAGGCAATGGGAGCCGAGACTGGAAGAGAGAGGCTGTTAGCCAATTTTTCTGAAATAGGGATGGACTGGAATCCCTAAAGCATCATCATCTTGATATGGAATTGTTCTATCCTAGAGGTGACAAATTTGACAAGGTTAAGGAGGGCATGGTTCAAAATGAGAATTATAGCAACTAAAAGCTTGAGAGGTAAGCAGGTGATAGAGGGATGGACCAACTTTACAGTATCCCAGATTAAGTTTTCAGAGGGACTTCCCTGGAAAAAGATGTGAGGCCTGTCTGAAGCCCTCTTGTTTACCATACTTAATGCAAATTAGGGTAAGGGGAAAATCCTAAAATGTTCTTTTTGCAGCAGGTTATTCCTGTCTGAATCTCTCTGGCAGGAAATGGAAGACAGTCCAAGGTTCCTAAAAACAGCTTAAAATCAGTCCAAAAATAGCACTATCAAAGTGGCAGAAATTTGATCTCTTCATTCTCACCTTTTAAATAATTAGGTTTTTCATTCCAGAAACTGAGTTGGTAGATTGCTCCATATTTCACTGACCTGAGTTATTTAGTCCTGAAATTAAGTCATTTCAGTTAATTTACTGAGTCTTATTTCAGGAGTGCTGATGCAGATGGGCTCCCAAAGTGAGACCCATATTTTGTAAATAAGCAATCAGGTATTTAATAAGAGGTATGCCTATGAAATTGGAAGGAAAAACAAAGGTTAATGATCAAATTATCAGCCAGCTTCTGAGTCTGTAAGGTTCAAAGTTTCTTCTGTTGGAATGAGAGCAGGCAGTGACTTTCTGATAGATTCTCCTTACCTGGAGATTGAATATCTCTGGTGATATCATCAGGTGCTTAGGTACATTATGCTGCGTGGTTTACATAGCATCAGGCACTAAGATTGTTTAGTATGAGCTGTTGTGCTGATTTCTCAAGTTTATATCCAGTCCTTTAGCTGTAATTTGCAAATACAAAGCTCAGGAAAAAAGCTTTAGTTCTCAATAATTCCAAGTCGAAGGATGGGAGAAAAATGAAACATAAGTTTGAAGGGTTGTAGCCAAATATTTAAAATAACAAAAAAAAAGAAAAGAAAACCCTTGAGATCCAGTTCAGTTTATAGGTGAAAAATAAAACTTTGAAGACAGCTGAACTATAGTGTAATACCCACAACTGTGTATTAGACTCTATTGAAACACACTTTCGCCCTCTAAAACCATCCCCATTTCTATCAAATAGCCAAATTAAGACTAGCTTTTTTACTACATTAAGTCCAGTTTCAATTTGGCCAGGTTGTTTACATAAACACAGCAAAAATAATAATTAGTCACTGATCATATATGCTCTCTAAAATCTTTTTTGTTGTTATGTCATAAGGAATCTCCAGATGAAAGTTTAATTTGCCTCTCAGGGCAAAGAAGTCAAGCCACATAGTTACCATCAGGCTTTACCTGCAATGCCCATATGTTTGGGTGAATTCCCAAGTTCTCAGGGTCCCCAAAAATGTCTTGAGGTTCTTTCCTTGCCATCTCCCAGGAAAGCAACCTTCTTTCCTTGCCTGGAAAGACATGAGCTGTGTAAATAAACAAATACCAGGCTCTATTTCTAAGAGCCTTTTATTGACTTTCAAAGTCAATCTTAATTCCTTAAAGCTTTCTGATAACATCCAAAATCTAAGCATGTGTCTCGCAAACATAACATTCTAGTCAAAGCCTTGGTTAATAAAAACCATTTTCCAATTGTGTCCTATTATAAAAAGAACAGATTCTTGCTGCGATCATGTAAATAAACATATTCAGTACTCATTAAGAGTTTTCAAATTCTGGAGGGATCAGAGGGGGGCG